TCTTGCTTTCTTGCTTGTACGAACTCTTCTCTCTTGATCTTATCAAGTATTTTACCTAATAAATTAACTTGATGCAACTTCAAACAACAATTTTCCATGGGATCTTCTACATCTAACGAGTTTTCTTCTAACAACTTAACAACGAAGTTCATAGATATTTTACTTTGCACATGTTACCATCCTCAAATCGTTGAACTTTCACGAAGTTTATAATAAACAAAAAAAAATAAGATAACAATCAGGATGTTTCAATCACAAATTTTTAACAACAAGAATATCCTATGTATGTGTGTATGTGTGTACGTGTAGGTAGAGTTCGCGTAGGTCTCTTTGGGTGTAAATGAGAACTAGGAAGAATGAAAGAAACTATTTGGCAATTTTCTACGGTGCTAAACGAGTCTAACATGAAGCAGTTTATCTAACCACGTAAGCTTACAGCAAAGACAAGCTTTACGGAGAATCACGTATCTATCTTTGTCTAACCTATTTTTCTTCACGTTTATAGTTGGATTCTAGGAGTCGTTGCAACGATATATTACACGCCTTGGGTTAAATTGTTTTCGTTAGAAAAATCTTGTTAGAAAAATTGCTATCGCAGACCTATTTCTCATTTCATATAAAATAAAAGAAAATAAAAAATAAGAAAAATGTGCATTTAAGGAAAGAAAAAAAAAATTACATCTTCTATTTTCTGGATTTGTTGGAAAGGAAAACAAAAATGTAAATCAAAAGAAGAAAGATATGGCGATACTGAACCTTGAAACAGGTTCGAACTGTTAAACAGCCAGCATGTGTTACCTTCGATGTTCCGCAATTTTTTTTTTTTTGTTTCTTTATTTTTCTTCATCGAACGATCCCCTCGTACACCTCAAAGTTTCCTTTTGTTTCTTCGTAAAGGGTGAGCTTCGAGTCGTTAGTACAAAACGAGCTGGAGATTAAGTTCACGAGATTCGGGTTCTATGTGAGAGAAAGAAAAGGATGATGCGCGTGCGATAGGACGACGACGACGACGACTGTCGAGAGAGAAAGAGAGAGAGAGAGAGAAAAGGGTGCGAGAAATACCTTTTGCTTCTTCGAAGAAATACGATGCAAAATGCCCGAGGATAATAGATAAAAGATTTCCGATCGACCTGTTAATTTTCTTACCTGAAAAAAAGAAGAAGAACAAGATAAATGATATCACTTTCATCGATTCCAAGTAGTACGATAATTGTATACATATATTTATTATATTATTATTAAAATAAGAAAATAATGACTGATATATATAAATATTTATATATATTTAAATATTTAATCGAATATAAATAATATAATTGGATATATTATTATAGAATATATAAAATAAAATACCAAATTAAATTAAATTAAATCATATACATATAATATAATACTTTATTTTATAATATTATTAACTACATTATATATATTATAATATTACTATAATATTTATAATAATTTATACATATTTTATATATATATATATATATATATATATATTAATTATAATAATATATAATATAATTTAATAATAATATTAATAATAATATTATAACTAACACACGCGTTTCTGTGGCTCACAATCAGTCCGATACACTCAGTCTTTAAATCAACGAATTACCTTATACCGCCATCTGTTAGAATCTTATCGAACTAACAGAGATAATCATGACTCTTTGTTAATAAACAAATAATTTGCAACAAAATAATATTGCGATTATAAATTGAGATATAAACTATC